CAAAGAAAGACCGAGTTGAGATGCAGCCAGAATGCAATTAGGCGACTTTTCAGCAAGACAAGGAAAACAAATGCAGAATAAGTCCGAGCAGAATCCACTGAGGCTGGGTGATTAAGCCTGGCTTGGATGTCCCCTATGTCCCTTACACACACTTACACATACACACACACTAACACTTTCCATCCCCCTTTCCCAGATGAGACACAAGACAGTCGCTAACTCGTATCGACGGCCCACCATAGTCTGGATTATGTGTCAATTTGCCACCCAGCTGCAGTGGCAGTGTCTCCCTTGCCGAACATAGCTAGCTCTAATTAGGCCATGCTACCAATTACTGTTGATCCCAAGTCAGAATGAACAGAAAGAGAGAGAGAGAGAGGCAAAGAATTACACCATTGTTTCGCTTTTTTATACCCAAACGCTGTGCTAAATGTGTGCAATAATCCATCATTTTGAGTGTAACGGGTTTAACGCGCTCTTATTATATGTAGTATTCAGTAGGACCAATAACGATAACTGGACCAATTTAGCTCTTCCAGAATCCTAACTATGCAATAAAGTATGAAAGGTCATATAGCCATGGCAAAAGAACATTGTTAGACCACTGTAGACACAAAATGAGTTAGCATTTATTATCCTTCATTATGTACTACCTAAGCAAAATATTAAGAATATGTAGCATATAATGACAAATCTGTCATTATTTACCCAATTTCATGTTGTTCCAAACCCATGTTGTTATTTTTCTGAACACTAAATCTTTACTCAGCCCTTTTCCGTACAACAACATTTTGTTCGAGCTGTTTCTATGACGTTTAGTATACTAACGTATATGTATTTTTCAGTGACGTGGACAGTAGCTGTATTAAGTAGCATACCTTTTCCACAAACTATATGCTTTTACTAATGATTAGTGGTGTAGCATGACCAAATGCCACATCGCTATTTTTTAATACCTCAGTTTAGGAAGTAATCAAGTATGCTCATCTAAACTACTCTCTGTTTCTCTCTTATATGTTACAATGGAAGGACTGATTCATTCTAATGATTCAGTTCATTCGGGCTGTCCTCTCTCTCTCTCATGTGTGCTATTGGTAAATCAAATTCATGCTAGTCAATTGGTTCATTTGACCAACCTGATCTCATGAGAAAATTACCTTTGTTTTGGCAAAAATGATAGCAAATATAATGCAATGTGTTCCATACAAAAACAAGGAAGCCTGAAGGCCTGCCCCTGGAGCATAAGCAGATTGTGCGAAAACACACAAATGAGATTGTGAATTCATAAGAATTAACTATGAATTCAACAAAATGTTAAATAGTTATGATTTGCCATAAGACAGTGTTGATTTGAACAGTTCATTTAAATAAACCCGATAGCATACGTACATCACAGAGACATCTATTTGACATCATTTACATCTGCAAGACGTATTTTTTAGAGTGTTTGCTCATCTG